CAGCCCGCGCTCCGGGAGCCGGGGTCCGCGGGGGCGCCCCTCTCCCGCACTCACCCACAGCTCCGTGCCCCAACTCATGGCGGAACTTGGGCGGCTCGGGCCGTCTGCCTGTCCGCTGTCCGTGCGTCTGTCGGCTCCGCCGTCAGTCCCTTCGACTTCTGTCTTTCTGACTAGCCCGCAGGCTCGAAGCTCAGCGGCTCAGCCTCGAAAGGTGCCGCCACCGCCGGGCTCCCCAGTGAGCGAGAAAGACGCGACTGGCGAAGCCGCGCGGCGTCCCCGCCTCCCGGAGCCAGCAGTAGGGGGCGGGCCGGGGGGAGGCGGGGCGCGGAGCGGGGAGGGCGCGCTGCACCCTGGGATCGGGGCGGGCCCGCGCTGCCTGGCGCCCGCCGGCAGGGGCGCCTCGTGCGTGAGTTCCCCGCCCGCGCCCCTCACGGTGGGTCTCCCCGCGGGGACCCCTGGGGAGACAGTCCGACCGTGCAGACGCTCAGATCCCTGCCTCCCCACGAAAGGGAGAGGAGGGAGAGACACCTCCCGCCCTTCTCAGCCCAACCCCCGTAAAGAAGGCAACTTCAGACACCCGCCTTTCCTGCTGTTCTATCCTCCGCTCGGGAGAATCCTGACAAAGAAACCTCATCCAAATTCTTGGGTTTAGATTGAAGAGAATAGTATTTTAAATTTTTTTAAATTAAAAAATATTGTTAATTTAAGGTTCTCCCATTTGGGGCCTGATGCTCCGACCATATGATTCTTGGGAACGTCGAGTGTATATTCGACATGTCTCTGATTCTGCTTTTAATAAAGCATTGTACTTTTACGAAAGGTGGTTTCCGGAAATAATTAAAAAATTATTAAAAGAGGCGAATCGTCCAGTAATATTTTGGGAAGTTGCCACGACACCACTCGGAAGACGTGGGCTGATAGCCCCTGCACGAGGTGGAAAAGGACCTTGCCTAATTTCTAAAAGGGGCCACTGAGGGTGGGGGAGGGGAGTCAGGCGTCTCCCTGGCAGTGCGCCCAGTTTAGAACTTAAGATGACTCCCCACCTCAGAAAATAGGAACCTCCGAGGCAGTCCACCACTTCCTTTTTTCCTTTACAGAGTTACTTCCCAGCCCAACTTCATAGTTAGGGAGTCAGCAAGTTCGGGTAGTGCTGCTAAACATCAAGTACAGTATGCTTAGTGACTCCCTAACATATGCTTTAGCATTAATTGCTTGTCTCCTAAAACACACATTTCAATCTAGTCGACTAGTAAAGTACTCCTGAGTGAGTCACGACAGCTGAGTGTTTTAAATTCTCCCAACAGGCTCTGTGTCAGCATTTGAAACTCCTCCCCTACCTGGGCCTGCTGAGTGCCCCAGCCTCTTCCACTGGAGTCCTGCCCCTTGTGGAGCTGTGCGCCCTTCTGAGGTTCATGTAAAACCTGAGCTCTCCTGACAGTCCAGTCACCACTATCGCTAAATTCTTTGCCACCTCCGAGGCAGTTTCAACATTCCAATACTCTCTTCCAAATGTGTTGTAATGAATTTTTAAATGCTGAACTGTACTATGCAATGAAAAGTCTGAGGCATTGCTTGAACACCTTTTCTAATATTTTTCTATCCTGCCCCCTATTTCAAATAGAATCCCTTCAAGTTTCTTTGTATCACCTAACAGTGCTAACCGCCTCTTCTCTCCCCGTCACTCCCTAGACGTGAATGTACTTGTCCATCACAAGTAACAATAGCCAATAATGGAAATATATTAAATGGATGTCTCATTATTTAGAACCATTCCAATACCAAGATTTATTGTATCTGAATACTGTCATAAAAGACATAGGGACCATAATTAAACCAAAATTATGGGGTTTTCCCCCTAAAAAATAAAATAATCTACCATTCACATTAAAGATTTTTGCCGACCATACTGTCTATATATATAATTCCTCGGTAGAGTATGAAGTCTCCCCTCTGTAATGAGCATTTTCTTCTTCCAGTTTCTGAACAGAACTCCCTTGAGCTATGAACACATCAGTGGGTCATCTAATTTACGGTGATTCATTTTTCTTCAAAAAACTAGATTTGGGAACAACAAGCTTAATAGTCAAATTTTGATAAAATTTCTGTTATCCTCTATCACTATAAAATTTTATATATAATTCACATGACCAATTTAATTTCTTTTAAATAATTATTTCTAATTTACAAAGTTAGTTCAAGTTCTCCAGACATGGTTCATACCTGTAATCCAAGTGTTCTGGGAAGTTGAGGCAAGCAAATGAAAAGTTCAAGCCCAGCCTGGGCACCTTAGCAGCTTAGTGAGATCTTTCTCAAAGTAAAAAAGAGCCAGGATGTAGCCCAGTGCAAAGACTATGGATTCAAACCCCAGTACCACCATATCCCTTCGAAATATTCCATAAGGGCATTAATTTCATCCATGAGAGCAGAGCTTTCATGGACTAATCACTGTGTAAAGGAACTAGCTCTTCATATTGTTGTACTGGGAATTAAGTCAATATGAATGTCAGAGGGACATAAACATTTAAACTATCACAGGGTCCCAGATGAGCACAGTAATTATCTTATTAACACACCCTTTGCTGGCTTCTCTTCTCTACTTCAGAGAGTTAGAGAAAGGGCAAATTACCCGAATATGCTATGAGTCAGCAATAGGACTACGACATAGTTGCTATCTGTATTAGCTTTTCACTGCTGGGACCAAATACCTGATATACACAACATAAGGGAGAAAATGTTTATTTTACTCACAGCTTCTGGGGTTTCAGTCAATGATCAGCTGGCTCCAAGGTAGAAAACTCATGGTGGAAGGGCATGGCAGAGGAAAACTGCTCACCTGATGGAAGGCAAGAAGCAAAAGCAAGGGAAGAGATAGAAGGAACAGGACTGGGGCCCAGACATGCTCTATCAAGGGCACGTGCCCCCAGTGACCTACTCACTCCAGGCAGCCCCTCCTCTAATAACCTGTTCAGCCATGAACTCATTACTGGGTTAATCCATTAACACAGGAGCTTTCTGACCTTGTGCTTACCAGGCAGGTGCTGCACCACTGAGCTAAGTCCCAAGCCCCTTGGGGGACATTTTTGACCCAAACCCATAACACTGTAACCCACTAACCAAACTCTCTCTCTCCCTCTCTCTCTCTCTCTCTCTCTCTCTCTCTCTCTCTCTCTCTTTCTTTCTACTGCACACTGCACCCATTTTATGGGACATTTTATTAAGGTTATATTTTTCTATTCTTTCTAGTTTGCTTCTTCTCTATCCCTAAGTTTATTCCTTATAAGTGTTTAAGTCAATGCCTGTGGTATAAGAAGCTCAGTAAGTTCCAGTGATTAACATTTTTAAGCAAAAGGGATTCAAAAGTGAAAACTAGAGCTGTGAGTGTAGCTCAGTGGTAGAACACACAGGGCCCTGGGTTCAATCCCCAACACAGAAGGAAAAAAAAAAGAAAAAGAAAACTATCATAGTACAGGAATAATGATGTTTAATGTTATATTTTGTTACAAAAATAGTCATATTTTAAAATAGTCCTTTTTTTTTGTACCGGGACTCAAACTCAGGACCTTGCACTTGCCAGGCAGGCGCTTATGCTGCTGAGCTATATCATCAGCAAAATATTCCTTTCTACAACAAATTTCTAAGTATAGGAACATTACAGCTGACAGATATGCAGAAGTGTTTAACAAGCACATGACAGTTCATGTTTTAAATTATTTGGATTTTAAGTTATTTTTATTCTTTATGGACTCATGGCAAGGCATTTTGTAAGCAACTCAAACACATTTTTATCTCTAAGAAAAGTAAGCCATAACTCAGAATCTTAAAGGAAATAGCTGATTAATATAATAGAAATCTATTATTAATTTTCACAGATGTTATTCCCACATCATAATTTTAATCATTTAACTATAAAACAATCTGTCAAACAAGTTATAGTTTTTTGCTACTTGACCTATTGGCAATCAATTATAGTACCACACAATTTCTTTCATATTACATTTTTAATAAGGTAACCAACATTAAGAAATAAGAGACTAAACTTTCTCTACATATTTTTATAATGGAGACACGTTACAAAAGCTGTTTTGCTATTTAAACAATTATTACACTGTATATTGTTAGTTATGGAAAATACTTTTATTGAATGTATTTTCTCTATGGGTTTGTAGTTGAACTTTATCATAAGCCATCAAAGTGTTATGTTATATTGTTATATATTTGAAATAATATGAATGTTATATTATTACATATTTCTGCATATTTTATCATCCATTAGTTCCAATGCAGGACTTTTATAATTTCTTTTTTTCTTTGTTTTTTAAAGTCTTTTTGTTTTAGTTTGGGTCTATGGTTTGTTTATTTGTTTTTGAGATTCAGTTTTTGATCTCAGGCTGGGCTCAAACTCAAATTGGAGACACCCCTGTCTCAACCTCCTGAGTGCTAGGATCATACACATGTACCACTGCACCCATTCCTAAATTTTTATTTTTAATTGACACATAATGATTGTCCTCTTACAGTTTCTTTATATTGTAAGCAGTTAGCTAATGCCTGTTTCAGGTTCAAATTTTCCCTGCATCATAACTTCCGTGTGTGTGTGTGTGTGTGTGTGTGTGTGTGTGTGTGTTTTACTGGGAATTGAACCCAGAGTCTTTACACTGAGCTACATCCTGAGCCCTTTTTTTGAGACAGGTTCTCACTAAGTTACCCAAGCAGGGCTCAAACTGGTGATCTTCCTGCCTCAAAGTGCTGGGACTATAGGTACACACCACCACACCTGGTTCTGCATTATTCTTTTTAAGTCAGGATATGAAACATACTTTTTCAGTTTCCTTCTGGAATATGTAATAGTTCACTAATCTAAATATATTAAACTCTGATCATATGTCAATCCCATGGCTGTAAAGAAAAAAAAAAAAAGGAGCTTTAGGTCAACTGAATTTCTTGAGTACAGGAGGATTTTCTTAGCATGTTTATATTAATTTCTCATTCATTAATTGGTATCAATCATATAGAATTTCTACTACTCAAAGGAAACAATCTCAAGCATATAATAGCAACTTACTTTTTCCCATTCAAAAATCTTAAGAATATGCCTGCAACATAAAGCAATAAAGGCAGTACCCACAAATAAAATTATTATCTAAGTAGCTGGACCAGAAAATCAAGGTAAAACTGTGTGAGGAAGAATTCCAAAGCCATGGTGTTATGCAAAAGAAAAAGAAGAAACAGAGGTATGAGCTCAACAGGACAGACTTATTGCAGAACAAACCTGAGAGGAACCGCTCTGGCACTACGGACCAGCTGCTCTCGCACA